GTTTGATCTGACAGTCAACGTGTTAAAATTCAAAAAATCTAAAAAGAAGTTAAGGAAAAGGAACAGTGTAATATGTTTATCAGTGCTAGAATGTGTAAGAGATTATACATATCAGTTCCATGCTATTGATAGAACGTTAGTATGATGTCGGTAAGCTTCTTGCTTTAAATAACAGCTCGAAGGTTACGCAACATTGATACGACTAACTCCGTACAGAAGTCATTGGCACTTGAAACCACAGCGTGACTTGTTGATGTGACCCATTTCTGCTGGTGAACGACCACGAACCCAACTGTGTTTCATGCAAACACACAGACGGTGTATGAAATTTCCTAGAGACGATAGAGGAATAACTGATTCAACAAACGATTTACCACGAAGAATAAAATATCTAATGTCACTTAATTTTATAAAGAATAAACAATAAAATGGCAAAAATGTCTTGTTTAGTTACAAAAAGAATCTTAAAAAACCCCTTAATAAATCATTTCACAAAGAGGATTAAATTGAACTCAACGCCAACATGTGCTCCCATAGACAGTCGCCCGCGAAGAAAAGAAATATGTAAATTGAAACGATAGAAGAATCCCCTCGTCGATTTATAGCCTCCTGGCTGACGCATCAAAGGAATCCTTCGGTTTTTGGGGTCGTATCAATTAAAATTGGTTACGGTACGTTCGAGAAATCTCCCAGCGAGGTCTGTCATCGAGAAGGGGCCATCGATCCGGACGGATCGCTCGTAAAATAAAGATTTGGCCAAGAGGGTGGATCGTGGTTTTTTTCGGAGGGTTAACCCCGTAGTGTATCCACACTAGCTCGCGTACTTCGATACCGAAGGGGCGGATCGGCCGCGCTCGACCTGAATACTGATTCTCGACGGACGCATACATTACCAGCGCGGATAAAAGACATTTGCATTTTGATGGACCGTGCTGAGTGCATTTGACGTTTCATATGCATTCCTTCCGTCGTCCTGGCGCGTGCGCGGCCGCCAAAGTGTGAAAAGAATCACCCCCTGCAGCACGGTTTATCGCACCAGCGCCAAAGGTATTTGTATTTATTCCGAACACCGTCGACGAGGACCCTTTTGAATATCTCCGCGCGAAGTACCGAGCCTCGAGAGTAAATTCGTCGGAGGATCGAAGTAATTTTAAAAATGCACAACTACCTCCAGTAAACCGAGAAACGAAGTTGAGGAAAGATGCACGGAAGTTCGACCGTGTGGAATAAGATTCCGCGGGAACGACTCTTCCTTAACGAAGTTGCAAAGCGTTTCGCGAGAAGGGGAACGGAAGCTGAGGAAATACGAGCAACTTTTACTTAATATAATTAACGGGCTCTCATAAAGCATCCAACGAAGAAATTTCCAAACTTTTCAGGCATTCGTTCCAATCTGAATACGGAAAACCGTAACGAGCATTGTCGGAATTAAAACGCTACTTTTAAAGGGGAATCGAAATTTGTATTTTTTTTTTATCAAACTTGCTTTTGCTCGCAATTTCCTCTGTGTGGATGATGATTAATGCAATTTTAATAGAAATATTCTACAGTATGATCGATTTTGTTATACAGGGTGTTCGGCCACCTCTAGCAAAAATTTTAATGAGCGATAGTAGAGGCCAAAATAAGACGAAAATCAAGAATACCGATTTGTTGATGGAAGCTTCGTTAAAAAGTTATTAACAATTAAATTCAAAAATTTCAAATCGTTCTGGAAAAATTATTTTCGGTTGCGGGAGTCAGTTATAATCAATTTTGGTCAATAGACATACCCTCGAATTTCTAACCATTATCGAGGAAAAAATTCGAGAAGGTGTGAAAGTTTTCGACAAAATTAAAAAATTTCAAATCGTTCTAAAAAAAATATTTTTAGTTGCAGGGGCCGGTTATAATCATTTTTGGTCAATAGACACACCCTCGAATTACTAACCATTTTCGAGGAAAAAATTCCTTACCGAAAATATGTCTGACCATACAATTGATATGTTTATTTAATGTCATAACTCGTGAACGGATTGGACGATTTTCATTTTTCAAAAAGCAAACTACGCGTATTTTAGTGGAGAATATGTACAAATCGCAAAAATATTCGAAAAGTTGTTCCTTCACACCGTAAAGTTAGAAAAACCCCATAAAAATGGTCCAATTTTCAAACGGCCATAACTCCTACAATAGTGAACATATTTCAATGAAACTTTTTTCTAAAGTAGAGCTCATAGATACCTACAAAAAAGTATTAGACAACTTTTCTGTAGAGTGTCAAACAAATGTATTAAAAATGAAAAACAAATTTCTAAGAAAAATCGAAGGGGATAGGTGCCTAAATTTTTCGGCGAAATTAAAAAGTTTCAAATCATTCCGAAAAAATTATTTTCAACCGCGGGGGTCGGTTACAATCATTTTTGGTCAATAGACATACCATCGAAATCCTACCCATTTTCGAGAAAAAAATTCGGATAGATGAAATTTTTTCCGCGAAAAAAAAATTTTCCAAATCGTTATAAAAAAAATATTCTCGGTTGCAGGGGTCGATTACAATCATTTTTGGTCATTACACATATCCACGAAATCCTACCTATTTTCGAGAAAAAAAATAGAGAAGGTGTGAAATTATTCGAGAAAATTAAAAAATTGCAAATCGTTGTGGACAAAATTATTTTCGGTTGTAGGGTTCGATTACAGTCATTTTTGGTGAATAGACATACCCCCGAAATCTTGCGCATTTTCGAGAAAAAAATTCGAGAATGGGTGAAATTTTTCAACGGGAAAAAAATTTTCAAATTGTTCTAAAAAAATTATTCTCGATTGCGGGGGTTAATTGCAATCAATTTTGGTGAATAGACATACCCCTGAAATCCTAACCATTTTCGAGAAAAAAATTCGAGAAGGTGGTTAAATTGTCGTTCGACAGCCACAACTTTGAACGTTAATAACTTTTTAACGAAGCCTCCATCAACAAATTGGTATTCTTGATTTTTGTCTTATTTTGGCCTCTAGAATCCGCCATTAAAATTTTTACCAGGGGTGGCCGAACACCCTGTATATAGTCACTTAAAATCGTACACCGTGATGCTTACTAGATATTTGCTCGAAAAACACTTTTATTATGCATTTACAGGGAAGATATTTTAGTTACAGGTGCATTAATATGTTTTTATTTAATACATAACACGTAATTTAGTTTTTAAATATGTTAAGCAAAAATCATGTTACCCAGTGCTGTAGAATTTTCTTATCGTATTAAAATGAAACTGTGTTATAAGAATCCGTGTTGTAGGAGGGTTACATGTATTCCAGAATAAAATTTCTATTGACCCTGAAAGGATGTGCAATGTTGAACCAAACGTCGAAAGTATTTTTGTATTCTATTTCTAAGTTATTAATATTTCTCATAAGTTTCCAATGCAATAGTTTGGATAGCCTTGAGTTATGGCACGTTTTGGAAATATCTCGTATCGGTTTACAATGCGATTTTGGGCCCCCGTCGCTGTTCATTACGTGGATACTGTTAGCTGCGTTCATATTTTGCCGCTCGTCAACTCTTGCCGCGTATAAACAGAGCCGCTATGTACAAATATCGGAGCGAGGAATGTTTGCCATGAGCATCGGAATATGAACGTTGTCTAGAAATTATTCATGGTCGCCGATATCAAAAGGTTCCTGACGGGCTCGCCGGGAATCAATTCCCAAAAACGTCGATATCGGCTCCGAAACCGTGATAAATACACGACCGCGGTCACAATGGCCCGAAAGACACAGCAAAAATCACCCATCGATGAATATAACATAAAAGAGACAGTCGAATGCACGTGGAAATTTTTCTCTTCGACGTATCGCGATAATTGGCGTTTCAGATTTGCTTAATTTACGGAGTAATCGAAAACAATTAACGGAGAACACGCGTGTTACGATTTACGGTGTATAATGAATCATACGACGAATTGCAAGTCATATCGACTTGTACACGATTTTGCCATACACGTAACAACTTGTGCAACACTACAAAGAAAACACTTTTGAGAAAAAAAATCGAGTAAATACTGCAATTTTTAGACGAAATTGAAAAATTTCAAATCATACTAAAAAAATTATATTTAGTTACAGGGGTCACTTATAATTATTTTTGGTCATTAGACATACCTTCGATATTCTACCCAGTTTTGAGAAAAAAATTCGAGAAGGTGTGAAATTTTTAGACGAAATTACAAAATTTCAAATCATACTAAAAAAATTATATTTAGTTACAGGGGTAAATTACAAGCATTTTTTATTATTAGACGTATTCTTGAAATCCTACCCACTTTCGAGAAAAAAATTCGAGAAGGTGTGAAATTTTTAGACGAAATTGAAAAATTTCAAATCATACTAAAAAAATTATATTTAGTTGCAGAGGTCAATTAGAAGCATTTTTGATTATTAAACATATTCTTGAAATCCTACCCACTTTCGAGAAAAGAAATCGAGAAGTTGTGAAATTTTTAGACGAAATTAAAAAATTTCAAATCATTCTGAAAAAATTATAGCTAGTTACAGGGGTCCATTACAAGCATTTTTGGTCATCAGACATATCTTCGAATTCCTACGCACTTTCGAGAAAAAAAATCGAGAAGATGGACAAATTGCTGTTCGACAGCCACAACTTTGAACGTTAATAACTTTTTAACAAAGCCTCCATCAACAAATTAGTATTCTTCATTTTCGTCTTATTTTGGCCTCTAGAATCTCCTATTAAAATTTTTTAGAGATAGCTGAACACCCTGTATAGATATAAATTGAAAAAAAAAGAAAATATTCGTATGAGAAAAATTCTTGCAAATTCTTGCAACGGTGTTATTATTAAAGGATTTCGATTTAGATGTACCTTTGTAGGCTCGTAAAACAGTCGAAAATGATACGTATTTGATATAATTGCGGTAACTCAGCTTACATTTTTTATTATACAAGTCGTTACGTGCATGGCCACTTTAAGCAACGCTCAAGAGAACTTAAAGTCGACTTACCTTTACAGTTGCACTCTTCGTTATTCGACGAACTTTTCGAAATGCAGTCTTGGTTTTTCGCAGCAACTTTCAGGATTTCCTGACCCCTCTTAAAGACGAAGCGTTAGTTCACTTCATGTCACCGTAATTGCTGTCACAGAACACCCTCGCGCGAACAAAGTTGCATCATCCTAACTCCCGATCGGTGAGCCCTCCTCGAAGTTACCATGTCTGGAAAAAGAAGGCGAACGAGCTGAAGGAAAATCACTGGCGAAGGGACTTAAAACACAAGAGGCTCGTTAGAAATATTGAAAACTGGAATATGTTCGAGAACGAAGCTAGTGGTTGCTATACATTTAACCTGTATTACTTTCACTGGGAACATCAGTCAGATTTCATGACGAGTTGTAGAGAATGCTACTTAATAAATAACCGCTGGCTTACTTTTCTACCTGTGGTAAATAGCTTTTATCGTAAGAATAGCGACTAAAGTGAAGCTAAAGTAATTTTGTACTTGTATTTAGACCATTATTATTCTCGAGGAATTATAGAATGGGAAATAAAATCCTCAGAACCACTTTCCAATAATCGTTGCACTTTATTTTCTATGTTTTGGAAGAGACATACTTTGACTATGAATTTTCCAAGGGAACTGAACTGCAATCGAACGGAAAAACAATATAGCATAGGAAGATATAGCATCTCTATCAGAATAGGAAACCAGTGGAATGAGATTCATTTTTGTACTTGGTTTTTAATCATAAATTATAATGGTAATTATTTAGAACATTTCGAACAACTTTAACCAAAGACAGAATAACCAAATCAAGTAAATAAACTGTTGGAATTCTCAGCTAGTAGTTGGTGAATGCATTGATTATCCGTGTATCGAGATGAAAAGAGTACTTTGCATCTTACGGTGGTCTTTTTACCGTTCAATTTTCCATTAGTTCTCGTGTTCGATAATAACGGATCTGTCGCTGAGAAGCACCGGGCCAAAACGCTTTTAGAACCTCGCGAAGATACCGCAACGATTCCCCAGCACTTCCGGCACGATCCCCGCCCAAAGGCATGCATAATACAGCAAGCCTTTTCGCGCCCGAGCAACGTACACCGAGCATTATCTCCCGTTTACGAGCAAGCAAACCGGCAGAAACTTGAGCCGTGAAACGGGGAAAATGACTCCTTTGACGCGTTGCTGGAAAAACTGGGCCCCCCGACGAGGGGACCAAGGGGGGAGCCCAAAACGGGAACGAGACGAGTTCGTAGGCGAAACTTGCCAACCCGAGGGAATGCTCCGAGAAGCTTTATAACTTCGACAATCTTAAATCGACGGAACTACCCTGCCCGGTGGTCGCAAGGGCTGTTGGGGGAGGAACGAACCAAATGGAACGGGGGTGAAGGGCGAGGGCAAGCGAATAAGTGAAGTTGGGAAGCAGAAATGTGAAAAATAGCTGTGTGTGTGTTGTAAGAATTGATAGGAATAGGGTGGCGTTGGCAATTATGCTTTTGACACTCTCTGTTGCCTCCTTTTTTACATTCCAAAAGTTTGAATCTATAATGAATTCATTCAGACGATTTTAAGTTTAAAAGAAGGTTGAAATCATTGTTGATTTTCGTCTCATTTTGGCCTCCAGAATCTCCCATTAGGATTTGATTTTGGTTAGCTTTAATTTCCACTGTTCCATTACCTTAATTTTTGCATGGAAAATAAGACTTTAGGTATATCATCAGGATCCATTAAACTGTATTTTAATTGACGAGTTCGTCTCTCGAATAAATTAAAATTCCCAATCAAGGTGTCCTTCACTACCCTTTTACTTTTACTTGTGTAAATTGTTTATACAATAACATAAAAATATAAGCAAGCAAAAGAGTACGGAGTTTTTAGAATCTTGATGATTACTTTTCCTTGTATACAGGGGATTAATGAAGCACTACAGCAATAAATACTTAATTAGCACACGCGACATCACATTATTCCTATGAGATAATTATCGTTCCAACTACCTTGGCCTATTATTTATTATTGTATGCTAGAATAAAATTGTGGACGATTAATTGAAAGAGATCTGTGTTAAGATATCAGTTGAAAGAGCCTATAACCGTAATGATATGTGTTCCCTATAAAATAAATGAGAGGAAACGTAATAAATATTCATTTGATAATATGGAAGTGGAATATGGCCCTTTGTTAACGTTAGGAAAATGTGGAGCAATAAAATTACCTCATCCAATATATGAATTTTCTTGTTACTTAATAAACTGTTATATTTCTATTGAAAAAATTAATCTTTGTTAATTCACAGCCATGAATTTTCTAACGAATTTTCTTGTGTACGTTTACAACAGTTAGAGTATCTTTATTATATGCAAACATTGTTTGAAAAATGTTGGAACAGTGGTTTTCAGCTTTCGTAAAATTCACGTCATATTTTAATAAAAAATTGTTTAGTTTTCTGGTACTGTTCTAGGAGAAGAATTATTATTAGACTGCGGATCTTTATGCAAATAAAATTAATAAAATGGGAGCTTTGTAAATGATTGTTTCAACCCCTAAATATAATAATTGGTATCTTACGTGCTTCTTATATTTTTGCATATTAAATTCTGTAGTTTTTCGAGGATTAAAATTCCCCATAAATGCATAAACATCTGCAGTCTAATTATTATAAATTATATTAACATTCATTGGGCCTGTGATGTAATCATGATAGTCGTTTGGGGGACCATTAAATTTCCAACAATCACACATACTTTGCTAGTAGTTTAAATATTATTATAAGTTCCACAATTCAAGAAAAGTTACTTTTCCACGTTCTCTATTTTTTTTAAACCTAAAATCTCGAAACCTATAGAACCATATTCTGGATTTATAAACTAATACCTCAACAAGGTTCTAATATTTATTTGAAATAGTACTAAACGAATTAAAATGAATAAAGACCATTTTAATTTGGTCTGCGACTAAATACAGGTGAATTAATTACATAATGTTGTCTTGTCTCTTCCAAAAAGAGAAAGTTTCCTTTCATTTTTCGAAACGCAAGTCAAGAGGGTGCAGAGCCGTGTCTCTTCGTGGTCTAACGTCGCCATGACTCTCATAACGCCATTAAATGTCCCAAAATAACGAATACATAAACGTCGAGGGGCGGGGGGAACTAACTTTTATCGGGGATGAAATGGTTGCAGAGGTGGTAGGTGGCAAAGGAATCGACAGTCCGCGTAAATTTAATGAAAAATTTGCGACGATCGCGACGTTGTCGTCGATGAGGCGGCAAGCGAACGAGAAAAAAGGAACGTATGGAATTAATGACGGGGTTCCGGGGGGCCTCCCTTGTCTTCGCCGTCTGAATATTCCGTTCCGCCGAAGGCGCAACGTATCGGCGGACAAAGGGAGCTGTCTCAAATAACGTTAAAACAGTGCAAGCAACCGGTGTAGGTAACAATCGGGAGGAGAAAGCGTCGCAGGGGTTCCGACGGCCTGGTCCCGAGGGTGGGGGGATGAGGGGAGGATGGAAATACCTACGCAACCCCCCCAACACACCCGTTCTCGCTTGTCTCGAATCGAAGAGTCGCGTCGGGGGTCGCGATGCGGCCGAGCACCCCTCGTTCCTACCCTCCTTCTCACTCCTCGACGTTCTCTTTCTATCCAACGTAGCTCCAAGCTCGTGCTTCCGCCCCTCGGAAAAAAAAAAAAAAACTCGGCTTGCATTTCAGTAAAGAGCCAACCCATCCGCGTGCATGGACAATGGGACGAGACGCCCTGCTAGACGGCCGACAACGCCCTTTCTTTTCGACACACGCGTGTCTGGGTTCGTGGCAGCGTGTGCATCGTCGACGGGGTATATACAGTGTCCTTTTCTCCCCTCTTGCTCTCTTCTCCAACCCCTCTGCGTTCACTCTTCCAGCGCGTGTCTGACTTCTTTTTTAAGGGAACGAGACGGCGACGATGTCTCGCCCTACGCCGCTTCCTACTCGCGGAAAACAATTTTCTGCGCCGCGTAGGGAGGGGTGGACACGGAGACAGTACAACATCGCCTGTGCAAATCGTACGAGTCGATTTCTAGAGCAACCACGCGAATTATGCTGGCTGTGACGTCGCGACGCGTATCAAATCTATACAACGAACAAACAACGTCCTAAACTGGTCATTTTAGTTTCCAATCTTTCCTAGCAAACTGAACATTACATGTCTCTAGCTTTTATTATCAATGAAACATGATACAAGAATACATTTGTTTACGTATGTACGTTGACTTTGTTTACTATGAAATTTTGTTCCACGATTAATCACTTTGAAAAGCAAGTCGGAGACGAAGAAGTCTACCCTTTCGCGATGTTAACAAACCGGATTTCAATGTAATACAGGGTTTTCCTTTTCTCCGTGGGCGACGAAAATAAAATGAAATGCATTAAGCGTTCGAATGAAAGTCCAGGCACGCGACCATTATTAAAATTATTTTGCCTAACAATGGAAGCGTTACTTTTCTGTTTTCTAAAATTTCAACCCTCTTTCTTCCTGTTGTCGCGCCCGTTCGAATCGGTCGAGTGCATTTACGAAAGTACCCGGCATTCACACCTTCCGCGTACGACGCAGCACATTGGAGACTACGAAACAGGAAGCCTCCTGGATTCTTTTGTTTCCCCATCTAAGCCTTCCTCCCGGCAACGCGGCGCTGCTCGTTAAAAAAACGAAAAGGGTACGCTTTTATTTTCATTCCTCTCCCTTCCTCCGCCGCCATTCCGGAAGTAATACGGTACCGCTTAATAACAATATTATGTCTGGATACATAGCGAGCAAATGTCAACCAGTGGGGGGGGGGTGGAGGGTGGAGCAGGGTGAAGTTTTTCTTTCTTCCTCCGCGAAACAAAAAAATGTTGCTACGCCGCGTGTTACCGCATCCGTCTCACTTTTTCCTTGTGAAATAGTCGAGCTCGTATAGTTTCGAATCGTTTAAGAACATCAAAGGAACGCGAAATAATTAATCACTTCATTAAAATAACGAAGTTGAAAGTGTAAATTTTTATTTCTATTAAAGAAACTTCCGAACGAGTAATACCCTTGCTTGAGAAAATAATTACACGATGTCCGAGCAATCGAGCACCCGTTACATTCGAATTTATTTAAAGAATCTTGATATCTTCCGGAAGAAGAAAGACACGAAACAACATTCCCCCGGGTACTAATTGCCAATTAATCTACCTTCTGTCCGGCCTTCCGTCAAAAG